TGACTTTGTGGACAAGACCTTTTTCTCTCTGACTACCCTCCTCTGTTATAATGTTGTAAATGTTTAAACTCCCACCCCATATCAGCAGTACCCAGTTCTGTCAGATCACAGTTCAGATAAAATTGCCTAGTGTGCCATGGAGAGCAGGAAATTAGTGGAAACAGGCAAACTGGGACTACTAAGGGATTTCGTCAGCCTTTGCATCGTTCCTCATATGTGGCCGCGGCCTGCATGAATGATGATTCTGCACCATGTGACAATTTCCCGAGACTGTGGAAGTTTTGGTAAAATGGAGAATAATGCCAGTGATTCCCTTGGTAAAGTGTTCTGAAATTGGATGTAAATTCCTGAACAAAATTGATTTTTCTCATCTGAAAGAAGATAGTTTGCAGAGTTAGAAGGTAGTATGAGCATCTCTCTGGTACTGAGGTACCCTGTTTTCTCAAACATATTCCTGTGTTTAAAAATAAAGCTACTTAAAAGCAGAGAAAACTTATGAGGAGATAGACTGATTTATCTGAATCAGAATCATTAAGATTTAGGCCAAGAGGAAACAGTTTTTACACATCAATTTTTTTCCAGCCAAAAAAAAATATAGCTTTAACATTTCAGGTCTTGCAAGCTGGAACAAACTCATAGATCTTTTGCCCAAAACATCCTGCTATTTACTTTAATGTTCCTACTAGTGGGTATGGAGTACATTTATACTGAATTTATTAAGCCATGTTGTCAATGCTCTGTTTAGTTCTACGAATCATCAGCCAGCTTTTATTACTATGAAATATAATTTCAAATTCTGATTTATTTTTTAAAAATGAAACTATTTACTAGAAAAAGAAGTCTTTATTAGTGCTTTCTGCAGCAGATGCTAGACAAAGCTATGACTACTGCAATCATTGTTAGTGGAACCTATGTTTTATTTTAGCTAGACTACTTACTCTTAATGAAGTTACCTTCTAACCAACAAGTAGTCAGTGTTCAATATTTAATGTTGTGTTGGCATAGTTTAACATGTCAGGGGGCTGGTGTCTAGATGTGATTGCAGTCACAGGATTTCTCACCAGATTCATAGCAGCTGGAAAAGCTAGTGTAAGCAGTAATTTTCTAGCTTTCAGACTGTAACGCTGGGAACTTGGTATATGGAGTAGTTAATGTCACAGAGAGACAAACGTCTGTGTTTTGAATCCGAGTTTCAATAACTAGTGGGCGCCTCTTGGTTGTTGTTCCTTTCTTAGGGAAAATTCTCTCTCAGTAGGACAGAGAGGGCTTTTGAGGTTCACTCAGCAGGTGGTGAATATAAGACCACATTGGCTATCAGCTGAAATTCTACCACGTATGCATGCTGGCATGCTGCCCCTCCTCTGGCATATCATTCCACACATTTTAAGTCACACAGAGCAGTGAAACTGTCAGTGATAAAAACAGGGGCAGAAAATCTGCTCCAGCACCTGAGCTTCAAGCTGACAAGAAGTCCAGAATATAGATCACCTCCTTTCTGAAATCAACCTACTTTGAAGTGGCTAAAATTCAATGGTCAATTCAATGGATGTTTTCTTTGTTCAGCAAAATCCTTCACAAGAAACTAAAAACTATGATAACATATCTCTGAAACCATATGATCAATGTTTATGCTTTTGAAATATAGAACCCATCGTAGTTTTTGGAATTTGAAAACTCAGTGTGTTACATTTAGTCTCAGTAAATGTTGCATTTTTGACTGTAATAGTTTTTCACTTCTCAGCTTTGCAAGTTTCTGTGCTTCAATTCACCTCTTAATAATTTCTTTTTTCCAGAATTAGAAATGCTCTTGAGATGTGGAGCTTGAATAGTCAAGGCACGGAAAAATGCAGATAGAAAGCAAATGAGAAAGAATATGCATGCTTCAGATAAGTAGTAAAAAAAGCAGAACATAATAAAAACATAGAAAATATTGAATGTTCAAGAGAAAGGAATATAGTGACTTCTATCCTGCCTCTCCCATGCAGCAATAAGGAAACTTTCAATAAAGTTCCCAGGTACTATATTTAAAACTGCCAAAAGGACACACCTTTTCTTCCAAAATGCATATTCACTATGTCTTCCACTATGAGAACTAAGGGACATCAAATGAATTGAGCAGAAGCCAGGTTCAGAAAAAGCAAAAGGGAAAGAATGATAGATGGTGTGTGCCAGTGCTATGAAAGCCAAAATTTACATCCATCTGAAGGAAGATTGATCTAAGGTATGAAAGAGAAATCCTCTGGAGGTTACTAAATACCTAAAAACCACACCTGACTGAAGTGAACCCAAAGTGAACATAGACTCAAGGACTTATTATTCATATATGTTTCCTCTATTCTTTCTCATCCCTGGGCATCTGTTGGGCTAGACCAACCTTTGGTGTGACCCAGGACATCTCCTCTTCATGCACACATTTGCCCCTGGAACTTCTTGCCACAGGAGGATAGGAGATACTAGAGTCAGTGACGATTCAGATTTGAGATTCAGCAGTATCACAACCAGACTGAACATTTCTATTGATAAACAGGATATACAGCCTGAGTTTGATCTTTAAGAATTCATGACTGGTTGCATTGCCTGCAGTTGACTTCTGCAACTTTGTCATCTTGGGCCATATTGGGAATAAAGTCTTTCGTTTAATGGTGACTGAGACAATATGTGTTATAAACTATGTTCATTATGAAGAAAAAATAACCAATATTTTGATCACCAATGTCTCATCACCTTCTAGAAGTAACAAAAAATAGCAATATCCACAATTCTCATAAGAGAAAATTTATTCAAACCATTAATGTATGAAACCCAACACAGCTGTTAATATAATAATGTAAAAGGTGGCAGGACATTCAAATATAAATTCTATGTTTTTCAGTTATAAAGCCAAGTGCTGCAGGAGGTGATAGCTAGTTTTTGGTTGGTTGTTTCTCTTTTGAGTGTTATGAGGTAACAGTGACTTCTTGTTAGTTTAACAAGGTAGTCCCTGTTACAAATAACACTATCTAAATACATAAGAAACATCAGTGAATTCCTGTAATAATTTTAAAAGATCTACATACTTCTTACAGGGTGCCACAAGCCATGCACAGAATGCACTACTGATTGCCTACAAATGCAAAAAATCCAGAATTAGATCTAGAACTCATTGAAAACTGTCCTAGTTTGAGTAGAACAGGACCATTTATCCTTTCAGTAGATTTCCCTTTGGTTAAGTTTCTTCTAAGGAACTGCACTTTCTGAAGTTGACTACATGTTTTTCAGACAGTGTCTGCTTTTAGAATTGGTAACACTTGCTGTTTATAGTTGTTACCAAGGTAACAGTAGGTTTGGTATGCAGAAAGGCCCATGTTTGTACTTATTCCTGTGGGAACCAAGGTCGCTGCTGGCTCTTATACGGTCCACAAGTGAAAAGGCGTAAAAGGGTTGCATCTGTGGGAAAGTGAGGATGGGACCAAAAACTGACCAAAGAAGTATTCCATCCCCCACACATCATACTTGGTATAAAGCTAAAGAATCACGGGGGTGGGCCCTTCTTCTTTCATGGTCAGCATCATTGTGAGACTCCGATCACTCTCCTGACTCCAATCCCAATCTGTGTATTCCTGCTATGTGTATGTCTGTTGCTAGGTCCAGTCCAGGACATCCTGGTGCCCACCTTGCCATGTTAGCAGTGTGACCCACTGCGGCTTGCAGTCCCATGATCATCATTGGGAAGCTCAATATTGATTTTGTATATTTTTATTTCTATTATTAATAGTATTAGTATTAATATTGTTATCCTCTTTTTCATTGTTTTTGTCTTATTAAAGTAGTTTTAATTTTCCAACCCATAAGTCTCTCTCCCTTTTCTCCTGTTGTTCCCCTTCTGGGAAGAAAGGGGTTGAATAGACAGCATCTGTCATCTGGTTTAATTGCCAGTCCAGACTTAAATGGTGACAAAAGCCAGGAATAGAAAAACAGCAAAAAGAAAGCCATTTATTTCTTTTCAATAAGAACACCAGTCTGATGGATAAAACTTTTTAAGGATAAGGACATACATATTTGTGAGTGAATTTATTTCTTGGCATAGTGCCTTTCTGTTTCCATATTATTTCTGAGAAGCAAGAGCAGTCCTAACTCTGTTGGTAGGAGGAAGTTAGAGACTTATTAAAATTTATAATAGTTCTGGCAAAAAGGATTCCAGCATGACTGAGGAATGATAGCTTCAGAGCAACTGGAAGACTAGAGTTCTGTGAATAATTACATTTTTTTATGATTAAGTCAATTATTTTTATTTAATTTTTTTAGTATGATTAATCTCAAATAAACATCTTTGTGTTTTCAAACAACCTTTGTGACTTAGATTGAGACTGTTTTCTGTTTCTTGTTAGTTGTTTTTACTCCCTTGAAAACACACTTTTTGTAATGCGATTTTATTTTAAATTGAAATTGAATAAGTACACTCTTAAACTTTTTCAACTATTTTCAGTTTTGGCTGACAAAATTAATTAGAACCAAAAAATTCAAGTAGACTTGAAATAATTTTCAGGATTCACTTAGGAATGTTACATTACTAGAGTGCCACTTGTAAAATTTATAAGCTATGTTGTATTTCAAACTTTCTATAAAAGTCAGTTATCTGTTTTTCTCAGTTTGCTTTCAGTGAACTTGTTCCATTTCCATACTACCAAGATGATGAGTGAATCTTATCAGAGGTTTCTAAGAAAATCAGGCAGAAAGAAGCAAGGTTGATTTGAATTTGCCATAACAAAGAGAGGACAAAATTTGCCAAACCAGTGAGGACATGAGATCTGAGAGAGACTAGGGAGCTGAGCAATCACCAACTATATGAAATTTAACGAGAGTAAATGCCAGATTCTCCATCTGGGATTGAGTAATCCTGGTTAAATATACAAACTGGGGGATGAGAGGCTGAAGAGCAGCAGAAAGAGATCTGGGGGTTTGGGTTGGTGGCAAGTTGAATAGGAGTCAGCAGTGTTCCCTGGCAGCCAAATGGACCAACCATGTCCTGGGGTGCACCAAGCACAACATCGCTGGCTGGTCAAGGGAGGTGAGTGTCCCACTCTGCATGGCACTGGTGTGGCCCCACCTCGAGTGCTTTGTGCAGTTTTGGGCACCTCAATATAACAAGATCAGACTATTAGAGTGTGTCTAGAGGAGGCCAGCCAAGATGGTGAAAGGCCTTGAGGGCAAGACTTAGGAGAGCAGCTAAGGTCAGTTGGTTTGTTCAACTTGGAGAAGAGGAGGCTGAGGTGTGACCTCGTTGCAGTGTACAACTTCCTCATGGGGGGCAGCAGAGGGGGAGGTGCTGATCTCCTCTCTCTGGTGACCAGCAACAGGACACAAGGAAATGGAATGAAGCTGTGCCACGGGAAGGACAGATTGGACATTAGGAAAAGGTTCTTCACAGAGACGGCGGTTGGTTACTGGAACAGGCTCCCCAGGGAAGTGGTCATGGCACCAAGTCTGTCAGAATTCAAGGAGCGTCTGGACAATGCTCTTGGTCATATGGTTTAGTTTTAGGTAGTCCTGCGAGGAGCAAAGAGTTGGACTTGGTGATCCTTATGAGTCCCTTCCAACTTGAGATATTTTATGATTCTATGGTTCTGTGACATCTAGAATTAATTTGGGGTAAGATAAATTTAAATTTAATTTACTGTATCATTTTTGTAGGAATGCTTTCTATAGAACATCTTTGTGTCTCTGGCAGGTGTGGTAGAGACATAGCCTAAAACAGTACTGGAAATAGGTTTTGCTCAGTTCTCTGACAGTAGAATTTTGGTTAAATGTAGATTCTGGTCAGAATAACTAACATTTGATTATTTCAGACTTTTAAGTGAAATGTAAAATAAAAAAGAGATCTCATATATCTATCTGCAGTAGATTTCAACTGACTTTTCATCCCTTTCCTCCTTCATGAAATATCTTGTGACTTTCCAGAGTGGATTTTGTTTATCATCAAATCAAAACCAAATAAAAAGTAGTAGTGGAAATACAGCCTCCACCCAATTCAATAATAATTGAAGAATTTGCCCCTAACATTTCATTGCAAACGTCTTCTTTTTCTTTTCTTTTTTTTTTTTCCCTCCCTCTCAGGTGAACATGGTTATGTCACTTTTAGGAATGTTCTGTCCAACTTTATTTGATGTAATCAGTTCTCTGGAAAACTACCACCCTCGAATAGCTCTCAGATGGCAGCTGGGACGAATCTTTGCTCTTTTTCTTGGCAATCTCTACACTTTCATTATCGCCCTAATGGATGAAATCAATCTCAAGGCAAGCTATTTACTTTCGTTCACTATTTTTAACATGCAGCTGGGCAAGGATGAGATTTTCCACTCAGTCACAGACATGTCATCAAAAGAAGTTCTTTTCTTTCTGTACTGTAAATCACATCAATGCCTGAGCTGGTAATGGGAATTTTGGAGTAGAATAGTTTGAGTTGGTTAAAAGCTCATGTTGTTTTTTTTCCTAATTTATTTCTTTGCTTAGTTGGAAGAAGAAAAGATAGTCAAGTATAACATGTCAATATGGGAAGCCAGTCTGTACAATGGTACTATTCCAGAAAATTCGACTGCTCCTCCAATACAGGTGGACCCTGCAGATGTCCCCAGAGGGCCGTGCTGGGAAACGATGGTAGGACAGGTAACTGTTTTGAGCTCATATTTGAAAATAGAACATAGTATGTTACAAGATATGATATCTAAACTCTTTTTGTTTCTGCTAATAAGTGGCATTAAGGTGGGAAAATGTGAGGATAAACAGATGTGGGACTTTTTCCTGAGCTAAAAAGTTGAGAAAAAATTATTTTAGTTTCTTTGGACCCCATCTAGTAGAGAATTCTTTCTCCTGGTAGTTGACAGAGTTGAAAGCATTTCTTTTTTTTCCCCCTCTCTTCATTTACCTTTCTCTTCCTCATCCTGTCTTTGTCTTGCAAAATCTGTCTAGCAATTTTGAAAAGTTGGGTTTGTCACAAACCCTGTATAAATGTGGTAAGTCTGATTAGAATTTTGATCAGGCAATATCAGACCTAAAGAAAAGATTTTAAAAAAGGAGCAGCTCAATTAGGAAATACACGTAAGATAGCTCTTACAGCAGTGTGCTTTTGAGAAGGCATCTCTATCTTTAGCCAAGTAACATAATGCAAAGGAACAGTAGTGGTTTAACAGTAAATCTGCTCAGTCATTTTATTTGATTCAATTAAACATTTATTCTTATTGACCTATTAATATAAAATGTCATTTCCAAAGATTTTTCTAACCTCCCCCTTTCCTCTATTTGATCATATCCCATTTTTATTGTTTTGTGCACGACAATGAATTCACCACTGAATCATAACTTTTGCTATTGCTCTATTACTCTGACAATCTCACCTCCTGACTGAATAAATCACCAGCAGAGAGCAGACAAGCAAGAAAAACAGCTCTTCTAATCTCTTCACTGATGCTGAATAATAAGATAAGAACACCAAGAGCTCATCACTGCACTCATTTTCTCCTTAATTTCAGATCAGGGAGAGTAACAGGCTTTTGGGCTATGAGGGTAAGGCCTGTCACAGTAGGGTTTAGTGGGACTTACTAAAATAAAAGTAGAGGAACGAATATTTCCATTAGGATTTTCTTCTTTCCTCTCAATATTCTCTGGGAGTTGGTGCTCCTTGAGAAAGAAGCTATTCAATTTCTTTTTTTTAATCTTCCCAAAGTCAAAGGGATCAAAAACAGTTTAAGATATCAACTCAGATTTCTGTTATAGCAGCAATCTTGGCTGGAAGCCTTTCCCAGTCTAATCCCTGGAAGTCTCATCTGATAATATGAGCACAAATTAGAGCAAAGGATACCTCTGGCAAATGAGGAGCAATTATTTTCCTGGCATTTTTCAGAATCGTTGAATGTACAGAAGGAGGAGCAGAGTCTTTTCCATGTTGAAGCAGGGTAAGCGCAATTAGGGAACTAGTCCAGTATTTCGTTATTATTGTAACTATTAATTGCTTAAATATATTCTTAAAATAAAATGTTGTTCTAACAGGAATTTGTGCGGCTGACAGTGTCTGACACGATGACCACATACATCACAATTCTAATTGGCGATTTCTTGAGAGCTGTCTTTGTTAGGTTTTTCAATTACTGCTGGTGTTGGGACTTGGAGTATGGCTTTGTAAGTATCTGATTGGTTATTTTAAATGTCTTTTCCAGCTTATTACTTCATATTTTTGTAGTAAATTACATTTTTCTTTCAATCCTACAGAGTTACAGTCTAGACACAACATCTTCAAAATCCCTGAACAGCATTGTCTTAGTTTTCCTCAGAGTTTGCTTATACCTTAATATTTGTATTATTCTTTAGACTTTGGTAACTTTAGGAAAGTTTTTTTTTGTTTTTTCATTTGATTATGTAAGAAAAATGACTACACATTTTTCACACATTTTCAATTTGAAGACTGATTCCCTGTTCCACAGAATACAATCTCTTTGATTTCTAATGGATTTGGTCTTCTAGCACACAGTGTTTGTGGAGAAAAATGCAAAAGAACCTGTTCTAGAAATCTTAAATATATATATATTTTTTTTTTGCTAGAATTAATTTAAGTGAAATAAAGTTACTAAGTCCCATAACATAGATGAGTGTAGAGCTCTTCACTTGCGAGTTGAGACTTTTACTCTTTTACACCGATCTGAGTTAGGTTAACTTAGCCAGCTAAGATACCTACACTGTTAAGGTCTGATGCTAGTAGTCAGGGTACTGGCAAAGCTTGTGAAGCTTCTGAAGCCTCTTTTGTACTTACTGAGAGGTATGGAAAAGAGCTAAGTAATTTAAAGCTATCTTAGGTACATCTACATGAGCAGCCATAGCAGCTGTTCTGCCATCCTTTTGCCCTCCTTCCTTCAAAATTTTAGCTTCATACATGTACAAATTTCTTGTTTTACTAAAAGCAGCCTCTCAGGAAATGATAATTTTCCAGAGGAAGAGAATATTTTAGTTTTTTCTATTAAAAAAATCAGTTTTCTGCTATAGCAATCTCATTGCTGTTGGCTGGTTCCTATGAAATTTCGGTCTTTATAGCAAGGTTCAGGTTTCTGCCTGTTAATTCTATAGTGTGTCTCAAACAGGACCAGTGTAGGGCTGGAGACAAAGACTACCAGCTGGCCAGTTGTGGACAAACAAGGTATAAACCTTGCAATATCAAAATCAAATGCAGGAATTTGAATACACCCTGGGCAGAGAGCCAGCACAGCTTGTGGAACTGTGTATTTTCACATACTTAAATTGTATCTGGAGCTTCCTCACATTTTCAGGTGTTCCACAGCCATTGCAATAGCTAAGACTGGATGTAGGGAACACATGAATCATTGTAGCTGGTGCTACATCTCACAGGAAATAGCTCAGATATCATATTTTCCAAAGATGTTGAAGTGATAGCCTGGATCTTTTCATGCCTTCCCTTTTATGCAGGGACTTTCTGTTGCATGATCAGCCTGAACACAGTTGCCTAGTGCTATTTCAGATGACCCGGAGTGTCCAGAACAGCTGGATGAGGCTACTAGATGTATTTTTGGTGAGATGACTACAGTGTCCCGGTGTTGGGAGCTACACAGTGAACTGTAGGACAGCTTGGTTTCAAATGAGAATGCCAATTATCAAGTGAAGAGATATGCATTCATCCATTAACATTTCAGACTGAATTTTTGCTCTTTTCTTTTTTGTTACCATTAGGGATGTTATTGGAATATAACGCAGTAATTCAATCAATAGAACAGAGCCTATAGAGGAAAGTGCTTTAATTTAGAGTCTGGATTAAAGAGCTGCACAGATACCATCCTTCTTTCTTTTCATTCATCTATATACAAAGTAAAGAATGTAGAGAGAGGAGATAAGCAGTGAGTGAACACAGCCCACACACAAGGGCTTCAGCACTGTTAATGGAAGCTGTGACATGTTTATCCAGCAATGAGGGGACACTTATTTCCATGATATATTATTGTTCTCAACATGTCAACAACACATCTGCTGGTAGGAGATGCTGAAACCAATGTATTATTGACATTTTTATTTGCCAGTATATAAGAATGGCTACAATGGTCAGGTCCATAATGGTCCTCAGGTCCAGTAGGCTGCCTGAAACAACAGCCAGAAGTGGAAGTGCAAACTGGAAATAACTGAATTTCTGGAAATATCTGAGCTCAAAGTCTTCCCTGGGAAGCAGCTACACCTGTGTCTTTGTGGTTAGTGGCCATGATGTACTTATCATCTATTAATTTTTAGACTTTTTTTATACCTTAAATATTTTTGACAACCAAAATGTTCTTAGGGAAGGAATTCCAGAAATTAACTTGCATGTTGTGTGGAAAAACACTTCCTTTTGTTTGTTTGAAAATTAAATTTCAGATTATTTTATGTGTTAGTGCTAGTGCTTATGCTATGAAGAACAGTCACACATTATTTGATTCTGTGTGATCCTATTAATCTCTCCATGTCACTTATGATATTCTATCCCTCTATACAAAGTCTCCTTAGTCAACTGTTTTCCAAGTTGAATACTAGTAATCTATTTAATCTTTCCTCATATGGAAGCAGATTCATAAATACATGCGACAAAAATATAGCAGTTTGCTGTAAACATACACATATGTATCTGTACATATACACAAAACTACACAGAAAGAGTATAGGGGCTCCAAATATTCCAACCATTTAACATAGTACAATTCAAAATTGTGACTTTAATTGGTAATTGTAATAGAATAACTTTGTCTTGATTCAGCCGTAAAGGAATAGTTATTTTTGTATCTCATGCCCCCTCCTCCCTCTATCCATCATCCATGTAATTAATATCTGGAAAATACACATTATTCATGATCGTTTTGTCCACCCACTATGGTGAATCATGCAAGTTATCGGCTATGGTGTAGCAAAGCTCTCTTTTGTGAGAAATCTGGTTAAAGAAAATACTGTGACAATGCAAAACCATACAAATAATATGCTTGAATCAGACATTTAGGAGCAGACCAAAAGTTTACAGCCAAAATTTCTTACCAGAAAGTTTTATTCTGGTACATATGCACACAAACTAATATGTATGTGTGTATTTCAATTATCACTCAAATGCACTATATTCAATGTTTGCAGATAGAAGTGTTAATGAATTAGAGACTAATAAATAGTGCAAAAGAAGAGATATGGAAATGATTAAAGATTTGGAAAAAAGGAATGAAAGGGTCAGATGAATAGTCCAGAAATATAAAACTAAAGAATTATTTGTTTACCATATTTGTGTGTCTATAATGGAAACAAAAATTTATGATACAGTGCTTTCTTCAGCAGATAAGCAATAATGAGACCCCATAGCTGAATCTTGAAGCAAAAATTAGAATCAAACACACTCAAATTAGAAATAGGATACTCATATCAAGCAGGGAAGACAATGATTGGCAACATTTATTGATGTTTAAAAAGAATTCTTCAACAGTGTAACTGTCAAAATATGAAAGATAGTGTTAAAGTTCAAACAGGAGTTAAATCACAGTAGCCTCATAGTTGATACTGTATTGGAGGATGCATTAGATGACCACTACTAGCCACCCCAATGGAAAATTTATGAACTGTTTTAAAATTTATCTAGTACCCAGAACTATTTTTAATTCTCTATTAGCACCTTCCTCTGGAGAAATCTCAAAAAGATTTTCACTAAAATACTGCAAGCTGTATTAAAGTCTACCTGCTGGCCTTGAGTCATACTAATTACAAAATTACAAACAAATAATTACAACACAATGCCAGTATGCTGCTGCTGTTGGAAGTGACAGTTTTAATGTATTGTAAGTCATCATAAAACCCGTTGTGCAAGCCTAATGAAAGCATCTGTACTATTTCTTTCAGCCATCATATTCTGAATTTGATATAAGTGGAAATGTGCTGGGACTAATCTTTAACCAAGGCATGATCTGGTAGGTATGGAAAAAGGTGTTGCATCTGCAGGACTGCAGGAATTATCTCTATCTGTGAAAGATTCTTCTGAAATGCTGGTCACATTGCTTTAGTTTAGTGGAAGTGTAATGCAATATATATCAAACTCTGGTACACTGCAATCAGTGTGATCACTTCAAAACTAGTTCTGGGCTAAGATTGTGGGACCAGACGCATTAGGATTTTGCAATGAGCTGGTAAGACCAACTGGTAAAAAGCTGCATAGATGAATCTTATCGTCATGTTGACTGACTGCTTGCTAGACAAGTACCTGGGCTGCACTGTTTTGCTTTGAATTTCAGCCTTTCAAAATACCTTACCACTCTTTTCCCATGTGTCCTCCGAAAAAAGGCCTTAAAACAAATATATGTACACTTACCTGTGCAGGCATGTCAATTTGTCTATAATACTACTGCTGCAGTATTAGTCCTTAGCTCTAGAAGAGGTCCATGTTTCATCCCATTTTTGGACTTTAGATGAGTGGTAAAGAATACCAGCATGTAGAATCCTTATGCAAAAAGCTTGGTCTTCCTCAGGAACTGTCCTCCTCAAGCACTGTTGACTTCTCAAAGTTAATTCTTGCTAAGGCCCAATTTTTCACCTTTAATATGACTTCGCTGATCAGACTTTTTGCTTAGCAAAAGCCCTCACTTCTGCAAAGCCTAAAGGTTGTGTGTTGTGTGCATGTCAAAGAAATGCTGCAGAAATACAGCACAGAAAGAGGCTGTAAACTTCATGCAGTCCCCTCAACCAAACCCCGTTGGGAGGATGCACTGAAGGTCCCAACTGCAGCACCATGGACTTGCTCAGAAGGAGGCTTATGTTGCTGGGGATGAGCATGGCACCACCTATGGCCCGATAATGATGGCATGCCATTAAGAGAGTTGCTGGAGGGAGTCCAGCCCTGCTGCTGCCATGTGAGGCACCTATATTGTGTGCTGCACCTTAGAAAAGCAGCTTAACTTTGCAATTGGCATCTTGGTCTCTGCCTTAGAACTGGCATTCTGATTTCTGATAGGAAACATTTCTCAGGCTGCTGTTCATCACATGATGAGGCTTGCAATTTTATACACAGTTGATAGCACTAATAATTTCTACTACTGTAATTAACCATTTGGAAGACAGGTTGGAAATCATTCTCTACCTGAAAGACGTTGAGGACTGGGTGAGGGATTCAATTCCTGATTATTCTCTAAGAAAACTTCTATACACACATATCATTTTTGTACTTCATTACATGTACAGAATCTGTGCAATTCTAAGCCACCATGCCCCAATATACTCACTCTGGCACAGAAATTGTGACTTGTGTTTTTGTGATACTATTTAGACACAACCCCCTTTGGCTTACTGCTTATTGCAGGGTTGGGATCACATTTACATGCTAATTGATATTTGCAGGGCCAAGAAAGGCACTAGAGCTGTTTTCAAAATAATGTCTGATTATTTAAATTGAACTAAATACATCAGATGAATTAAAAAAGGTTGACTGAATTGTGATAAACATACACCGCCAAAATCATGTTTATTATTAATATATACATAGCACAAATTGGTTTCTCTTTTATCTGAGCTTTACAAATTCTATTGCACATACTTGTGCTCATCTGAAACTGAGTAAAAGGGAGTTTCAGGTGCAACTAGTGAGCTGGCACTATCACAGAGCTAGAAAGGATACAAGCGGCTTGTATGTGTGCATTTATTTTTGTGTACGAGAGAGACCATGCAGTTAGAAAAACTCCTCCCTTCTCTTTCTCTGTGTTTTCACAAAGCAAGTAGGATGCAAATCACTTGCAAGTCTTCCCTGTATTAATAAGCTTTGACAAGAATTTGTCTACCATATAATAAATGCTATACTGAAATATTATTATAACAGCCATAAGTGGTCCAGATTCTGAACTTGTTGAAATTGAGGAGTATTTTACAACTGATTTCCTTGAGGGCAAGGAAGAGGGCCATGAGGTTTTTCTTCAACTGTATACTAGCAAACCCTTTATCTTCTCATTGAAGTTATGTGAAAAGAGGAAGGAGAGATACTAATATAACAGATTCTGTCACGATATTTCTGTACTAGGAAGGTGTTTCCAACAATGTAGATCTATTTCCTATTTTTTAAATAGAAAAAATGAGGCATTCAGAGGGAAAGCAGCGCAGCCCTGGTCACCTGGACAATGATTAAGGAAAAAATAGATTCCTGATCTCTTACATTCTGTTTCATTTGGCCAGGTAAATGAAAGTAATTGTTCCTCAGTCAGCATGGTACAAGAAACAAGATGTGATAAAAATAACATGGTCCCAACTGTTTCAGTGTCATAACCATGCATCCATACATAATAAGGAAAAAACAACATTTAGCAGAATCAATAAACAGTTTGTTGGAATGAAGGACTAAATAGTCATGATAATAGAAGTAAAATAAATGTCAACTAAGCAAATATATTTGTCATAAAATGTTGGTAGTATATTAAGAAAAATAATGAAGAATAAACTAGATTATTTTGGTAATACCTAGCTTTAGGGCTATCCTTTTTTATACAACACAAGTGAGATCCTACCTGAACTATGGAACAAAGTAAGAGTGGATAACATTTCACCAGATGATCATTTTAATTTGCAGAGAAAGAGGGCTTTGTAACTCTGAAAGAAAAAGTTCATGTGGACAATTCTCTCCATATGCCTCCAGTTCTTCTTAAAGCAAGAATGAAGAGTCAAGATCAGTAACTAAAATATAAAGACAATTTTACAAACTTGATTTCTGAGTGCACAGTATGTGTGGCTGCGAAGCATATTGACAGAAGGAATGGGTGGCATATCTATGAAGACAAAAGTCCTACAACAAAGTGGTTATTTTTTTCTTTGCTTTTTTTCTAGGATGGGATCTTTTTATGCTCCGTGTCTCCCAGCAATCAATGTGTTCCGCCTCCACACTTCAATGTACTTGCAGTGCTGGGCAGTGATGTGCTGCAATGTCCCTCAAGAGAGGGTCTTCAAGGCTTCCAGATCCAACAACTTCTACATGGCCATGCTGCTTTTCATCCTCTTCCTCTCCACATTGCCTGCTGTGTACACCATTGTCTCCATCCCACCATCTTTTGACTGTGGTCCTTTCAGGTTTTTTGCATTTCACATCCATCTTTTGTTATTGATGTAATGAACTGCTTCATCGCATCACAGTGAATGATGCAGTAATGAAAAAGATGCCCTGTACAAGGGGTATATCAGAATGTATGGTGGTTTGTTAAATGTATGGTGGTGCAGTCTTTGACTGCTATATTTTCTCCAACTGACAAAGTATTTCACACATCTGTACTATCACTGTGAAGCTGATTCTTCTGAAGTCTTCAAGACCTCCATGTTCACTAGTCCCTTCTAAAAACTTAGGTCTGCCTTGGCTGTGCAAACATGTGCCTTGCATTCAAGCTAGCTTAAATGTTGCCACATTTTCTCCTTTTGTGCACACTACCTGGAAAGTCCAGGACCATTTTTATCATCTTTACTTGCCAGGTAGCATGGCATACAACTACAATGAGTGTACAATAACAGTCAATGTATGAAATTAAAATTTTTAAAAGACTGTAGTCTTTGGTTTTGAACAAAGCAAAGTAGGAGTAGGAGAATAGTAAAAGAGACATCCTGATTCCAACAAAAGATTTGAATAATACATTACTGTTGTGAGTAAAATGGTATGTGAATAATCCCCAATGCACTTTGTTAAGGAGCAGAAGTCTTGCCACATTAACTTCAGCCAAAGGCAAAATATCTGGAAATATGGTTTCTAGCCATCTGCAATGGTCACAGTCACCTGAGAGGGAGAATTTCATGACATGCCAAAAATTCTGGTGAGGTAGAAAATTGCTTGACTTTATGGAAGCAATGATAACAGAGTGATGCAAAGTTAAGATGTTTTTATTTGAGTCTTAGCGAAGAAAGTACAGAGGGAGACATCTGGAGTCAAATCTGAGTAGCTGCAGTTATTGAATTGGATATTGCTGAAATGGTAAGATTACTGTTCAAAATGAGAAAGATAATAGTGCCTGCAAATTTTTCTCTGTCAAATAAAAACTGTGCAATCTTCAATGAAACTTTTAATAGGAGAGGACTTGAAAGTAATGAAAGTTCATTCAGCCTGGGCACAGGTAATACTACTGTTGAGCAGCCAGTGGGTAAATGCTGGTAGTACATGGCTGCATATTAAAAAAAAAAAAAAAAAAAAAAAAAAGTATTTTCCTGTTGGTAACACAGTGTCTCACCTATTATGAAATTTCCATGTTTTTATTTTTTAATCCATCACTAAAGGCAACATAGACAACTCAACAGAGATCTGCCAGGAGTAGGGAAACCAGGGTAGAATTAGCAAAGTTGCAACAGAAGAACCTCTGTGCATGCTGGGGAAATAGTAAGAACACAGGGTGGAATTTCTCATCTACCATGGGTGGGCAGGGGAAGTGGAGAGAAAGAACTGCTCCAAAGAAGAATTCTACTGGCAACATTTTTACATTACTGGAAAGAGGGTGAACATTGAGAACAATGAGTTAAGAAAAAGACCTGTTTGCCAGAAATGCTTGACAAGAACTGAAAGGAGGTGACAGGACACTTCAATGATTGAAATATCAGGTGGCAATTTGGTGACAATTCCTTTAACCAACTAAAACTGCCAATTAGTCTCAGCAGATGTAAAGACAGATTTTACTGGTCTTATTTAGGTAAAAAATTTCAGACTCTATATTGTGAGGCACAACTGAAAGTGAAATAAACAGGAAGAGACTTTTGGAGCATCTATTAAAACACTTCTGCAAGAAAAACTTAGTGTTAATGGTCTAGGGAGAAAATACTTTCTTGATAAGCTGGTCATGGAACAATATGCATGAAGGTTATTATATTGCTGTAAAAATAACAAAAAATCTCCTAAGTCATAGCTGCTGACTTCTATAGCATTGGTACACAGCAAAGAGAGAGGAGAATTAGACTGAACAGTGCTGAACAAAAACCAATTGCAAGCAGACCATTTTTTGCTTATCAATCATACAAAGACAGGATTTGAATTTTTCACCAGGGCTTCACAGAACACAAATTGCACTTCACACTTTGGTTAGTGGTATGGGATCACAACTTGATACACTGATTCTTTGAGGAATGATCTTGGTGCTAACTGCAGTCAAAATCTATTAGTATACAATAAAATTATCGGAGTCTATTTTCCCCCTTAAAATACAGAAATAACATTTTAATTAATACTGCTTTCAGAGTGTCAAGTTTTAAATAATGTGAACATGTAGTTTATTGTCCTTTTCCCAGGTTTGATGTGATGTGATTAACCTATATTCATACTGCTACATTGACATTACAATAATATTTGTATGTGATATGTTGTCAACTTTTCTGTTTAATAGTGGGAAGACTAGAATGTTTGAAGTTATATCAGAGACTCTGGAGCATGACTTCCCTTCCTGGTTTGGGAAGGTATTTGGTTATGCCTCTAACCCTGGACTCATCCTACCTTTTATATTGCTAATGGTGTATGTATACAATATTAACTCAAAGCTTGCCTGATCTAAGGTCTCTTAAGTTTCTTTCGCTCTGAATCTTCACTGCCTGAATATCTAATTAAATATAGTGCTGATTGCCCTGTGGTGAGGGACTTGAAGAATTCATGAGCCTTTATTTGATCATAATTAATGTGCCTTTGCACAAAGGATAATATGCCTTTTTTGTTCAATGGCTTTCTTTTTGTTTTTTTTTGTTACTGTTTTTCAAAAATGTGGCTACAATAATGGCAAAGCTATTAAAACGGAAAAGCCTATAGGGGATCTGAAGTGCTGTGACTCTGATCAGATTGTCCAGTAGGCAGAACAGCACATCATAAATCCTTAGCATGTTCAATAGAAACATGACCACAAAAAGCAGAGTTATTTCCCAGTAACTTTCAGTGAGTCTGATGCCTTGGCCTCTCCTTAATCAATACTGTTCTCCATGCTGTTGGGACAGGACTGTGAGACAGAGTGTTGGAGACTTTATGAAAGAGGGTTGGTAAAGATATTTTGTAAGTAAGTCAGCACTTGGTAAAGAATGATGACCCAGAATAGTCTTTCTCGGAGACTGTATTGAGTCCTGGTTTATAAATGCATTTTAAGCTGCTGTATACAGATATCGGATTATTTAGCATACTGCTGAACTAAAAGTTAATTCTATGTAGAGATGAGCTGGGATTTAACCCTGCATTGTAGAACTGCCAATAAACATAGAGAAGATTACAGAATACAATAGAAATTGCAGAAGGATTTTACATGAGCAAAATGAATTTCTAAGATGAAATTTTGCCAAGGCTTACTTAACATTAATTTCTATTTTAACCCTTGGATAGAAACCCCAAGAATTCAGACTGTCCTCTGAAATACATTGTCAAATCCTACTGTTTTTTTTTAAGTGCTATTCCTTTCTTGGAATCATCCATGGCAAAGATACTAAAAATAAATAAAGAAAAGAAAAAAAAAAAAACCAAAGAAAATACAAGGCAAAAGCGGGCAAAGCATACACAGATTAATTATTTACTGCGTACCTCAGTAAAAGACTTCATATCAGGATTTCTTTAATTGAATCAGGATGGTGGAAAATACTAATTTCAAAGAATTATCACAAAAGTAATACAATACACTGAAAAATGAAAATTGCGTTATGCAATTATGGTTTTGTTTAGAAGAAGAAGGAGGTTGTAATTTAAAACAAAAATAAAAACCTACGCTTTTGGCTGTTTTCTTGGCAGTGCTTGAGTTTGTCTATTGTATTAGTTCAAAAGCTTTTATAAATATGATTTATTATTTTTTAAGGTATGTCATACAAGTTAATTAATTTTTGTTAGTTATTCTTTAGAACACACTTCACAGTGAGGCATAGCTTTATGGAACACCTTCCTTAACTGCTGTAAGATTGAATGTAAAGTATTAATAGACAGAATAATTTCTTTCAGCTTTTTTTTCCCCTGAAGTAACAGTGCCTTCTTCATATTGTAAGGAAGCACATTGTTCGTTGTCAAAATACTGCTACTGATTAGACATGGCAAATGAAGAAAAGACAGAGATTTTATATTAGCACAATTGTAGTTGTTGCTATAGGAATGTTGTGAGAGTCTTTATATTTAAATCATTACCTAACAAGAAATTATTTTTCTTTAAATTTAGCCTGAGTATTTATTATCTCAACGCTACATCCAAATCCTACAAGGAAGCTAACTTGGAACTTAAAAAGAAGTTACAAAGTGTAAGGAATAGAGAATTACTGATTTTTGATTTTACTAAATGTTAGAGAAGCCTTTCAGGTCACTGAAAGATGCTGTCTCTCTCTCCATACCATTAGCAAGCAGAAGAAAATAAAAGAAGAAATAAACAAAAGGCACAAAAATCAAATGAACAAGACGAAAATCCATTTGAAACAGAATCACCAGAGCCAAAGCAAAAAGGAGGCAAGCAAGACGAATCCTCTTCAAATCAAGGTAAGGACCATTTTGAACTCCTCAGGATAAGGAATTCATGTATACCAGACCACAGTCTTCCTCACTGCCTTGACTGCTTCCTTTGCCATGATCTCCTGAAAGATAATCACAATACTGAATCACAAGTACTAGCCTAATCTCCAGTCCATTTTTCTTACTTTGGCTCATTTAAGAAGTACTGCAACATTACGCCACACCAGGCAACAGTAAAAAAGCCTGTGATAGAGCTATAATGAATCACAAGATCTGAGGCCTGCCAAAAAAAAAAAACCAACCTCGCTTAAACCCTGGTCAGTAATCCCTCTTACCTACCACAAACGAGTCATGTCCAAATCTTGCACCCTTCTATCGTATTTTGTTGATCCAGGTCTGCTCAGGACAGCATTTGTCCTCTATGCCAAGTTCAACAGGAGCAGGTATAGTGAGAACAGAGTACAGTAGCAATCCTTATCAGAAAGCCTAGCTTGGTCAGGCAGGTTTCAGTCTGTCCTGAAGGATTTTGCAGGCTGTTTCCTTTACCCTGGACACTGCTAGACTTTCCCCATCATGCACACATGCAATAAAGTCAGTATAAGCTCAAGCCTAGCAGAGAAACCCAGATAGAGATGACTGCCCTTGGAAGAACCATGTGCAAGACATGTCTACAGCCTCAAAACCTGCCAGCTTAACTTTGAAATTGCTACCTTCATCATCATTTCTAGATGATATCTAAGTGCACCTAGCTACTTGGGAAAAGCCTCCACTTCCCTCCATTAGGGTGTTGCAGAAAGACCTGGGGAGCAAATATGATACAAATATCGTGAAAGTGCATTCCCCCAGACTTCAAGCTGTTGGCAGGGGAGGCCCCAGACTTTCCACTACACTCTGGAGTGGACAGGGGACTGCAGGATTTCCCTCTCAGGGAATTGCTGTTTTGAGTGTTCATGTTTTAATTCTGTTCTCCAAACACATTTCAGACAAGAAAGGACAGAGTGGCAATGAAGCAAAGAAGACAAGCCAGCCACAAGAAGCCAGCTCCTCTCAGACACTCCAGCATGCAGGCCCTGCTCCGAACGGCCAGTATCACCCGCAGAGCAGAGGAGGAAACCCTCCTCCATCCATAGCTGTGACGAGGCCACCAGGGCCCAGGGCGTATGGAGTGCCGGGCTATCCGCCTGGAAACCCACGTTTTCCGGGGATGCAGCCAGGAATGCACAGGGGCCCTCCCAACTACAGATAAGGACCCTCAAGCACAGTGTGATATGATGAAGGATGTTGAGGAACAGAAGAGTGGTCCTAAACCCAAACAGGCTGCTGCAAGTGCAGAACCTACTGTGTTCATTGTAAATCTTCATGTGCATAGAAGTTACCCATGAGCTTCAGTTTTTGCAGGATGGGAGGTTTCAGAAGACAACATTGCGTACGTCTTCTTGCATTTGAAGGCATTGCAAAAATATGTTATCTGTGTTGATAGATTACTAAACTTAGGGATATTTATTGGAAGATATTTATTAGAAGAATGAAAAACATTTTGTACACAGTTGATTATTTTCTTAAAAGCCTGAAAGTGTGTTCCTAACATCTTTTCCTCTTTCTTAGAAGCACAGTTCACTGAAAACATAGCTTCCTACAAAGTGTGTGAGTCAGTTATATTTAAAAATTGCATATAGCTTGTCTTCTGCAGGTCAGATATGCTTACCCAAAGATTTCAGATTGTACATGGGAAAACTGAGATCTTTTCAAAAGCTAGGTGATTACCTCTAAAGTCTTTCGGAATGTATGAAAAAGATAAAAGAAAAGCAATGTTCTGCCTGTTGCTATGAAGAAAATTTAACTCCTATTACATTAGCACTTCTAGATAATAATAGTTTTATCACATTATGAAAGACCAAAAATAAATTTTAAAAAGATCAAAGTGATGAAGAAATATCTCCTGTGCAGAAAAACGAATTTGAGGAATAGAGGTAAGACAGTCATGCAAGAATTTCCCCCAAATACTTACCAGGATTTTGTTACAGCACAGAGACACTTGTTATGGCATAAGAATATGTGCTGTATAATCTGCTCTGTGGAATTAGCATTGTATACTTGTATTGACATCTGTTAAGTCCAGTGTGGAACAGGTCCTTAGTCTAATAGGTCTCGTGGGAACACAGGGTAGATGCACGGCTATGTGCGAGCTGATATTACTTATTCCAATGGGACAGGTTTAATTTTATGTTTTGATTTTATTTCCTTGTTCAGAATTTGGGCCTTGATAATTATTTTAAGATTCACAAGATTAATAATAACAAAATTAGACACAGATTGTCTTCTAAAAAAATAAATATAATTCCATTGGAGGCTTTCTGTATAATAGAGGTCCATTTTGTATAGCAGAAAAACTTCAACAATATCTCAGTATAGAATAAGTCTGTGACATCACAAAACAACATCCATGTAATTAAATTGTGGAACTTATTGAAAAAGGCTTCCAAAAAAACCCCAGTATAGACTATGTATCCCCGTAAAACACAATGATCCAGATGTAATTTCCAGTTCAAGCAGTCTCTAAATCACTTGCCATAACCTGGAAGGATAAACCAGGGAAAGTTCACTTTATACTTGACTTGACTCTTGTACTGCTTCCATAAGCATCTGCTATCAGCTGGAGATAAGATATTAAATCAATGAGACCTTTAGTGATCACCAGCATGGCTGTTCTGCATGTAAACACTAAGCACTGATAATCAAATCAAGAGCTAAGTGCAGTGCAGTAACTACAAGGGGAGGTCTTTTCTAGTGAACAGACTGGAAATGTGTTGTTACTAAGGGAAAGGACAAATGAGTTAAGACTGGATCCCAAGACATGTCTGCATCTGGTGTGCAGCGAATCTGGTATTTTAAATATTAAATATTAAAGTACAACTAAGTGCAGTGTAAGTTGTTTCAACTTTCTCAGTTAAGATTTCTAATCTATTGACTTCAGACATGTGGAAAAAGTACAGTAATTTGTCTATTAATTTGAAATCTTCATCTCATATGATTATTTTTTAAACTCTGTATGTTTTTAGCCCAGAAACTTATGTCAGTAGTTTTATTGAAGTTAACTATGGGTCCCAGTGCTCTAGTGCTTCCACGCTTTTAAGATAAACTTTTTCGTACAAATTGGGATTGATCTGTCATGAGACAGTGATTTGCATAGAGGTTTTAGCTCAGTGTTTGCCGACATTCTTTAATAAGAAAACACTGGATATTCATTAGAAAAAGGAAGATTGTTTATAGAACAAGTGAAGAAACTGATTTTAAAGATGTTTTATGGCTTGGTGATCCACCTGAGTTTTTCAAGGGGTGTTGGAATAAATTGGAATTGTAAACTGGTTTTGATACAGTTTAATTCCCTGAAATGTAAATGGAGCTTTACACTACTTACATAGCTCTTAATAAGGATTCATTGTTCTGTTAGGAGCAAAAATTCTCATATTTAGTAGGCTTAGTATTTCATTCTGTGGGGTTGCTTTATGTCATGAATGGGAGAGAAGTACAGTAAGTAATCCACCTACTGAAATTATTCTGAGGTAATTTCTGATACATCTGTATGCTGTATTGATTTTCAACAATAAATGTATTCTCATAAGGCACCTGTGTATGCAGTGATGAGCATGCAATAGCCAACATCAATAACAATAAGAAGACTAGATGTTGCTCGTGCCCTGAGATCAGCATCGGACTGCTGTGACTGAAAACGAGGTATTTATTCTTATTCTTTGATACTCCTAAGTAAAGGTCTTTCATCACTGTGTTTCATGAAGCTATGCTTTCAGTGCTTCCTAGCTTAGTTGTGTTCAATTGCCTGCCGTCTTACTGATAACATAACGTTGACTTAGCAGATAAGATGTGATCTTATACTTTTCAATGTTTTATACTAATTCCACCTTTAAGAAAACATGCTGTTTACTTGGTAAATTAATTTTGAGACTGTAACAATAATTTTGCATGATCAGATTTCAAGTCATGTTTCCATTTTGTACAACCTTTTCCTGTCCCTCCTATATTTTGAATCTTTCAGTGCAAATTTTTTGTCTCTGCTTTTTTTGAAAAAACACCTCAAGCAACTGTCATCCACTTACGCACACAGCTGCTCCTCTGTTTGAGTCTTACACTGTGCTGAACAGGTAACAAATACTCTTTAATAATACTTACTGTGATTCAAAAAATGGCAAATGATCTTGCTTATAGAAACACAATATATTTTTAATTCACTGGTGACACATATAATACTACTTACTTTCTTCTGTTCTGTTAGACCTGCAAATTGTGCTAGGGAAACCCCAGAGCTCTACTATCCAATTACTTTCAATGAAATCAGGGTTCAGTGTTTCTTACCATGCCCCTGATCTTCCTCTGCACAATTTACATGCCATGTTAATAACATTTGGTTGAGCATTTCATATAACTTTTTGTGTAATAAAAGTGCACTTCCCTTTATTAGTGTACTGTTACAGAGGGACCTTCAAAATATTTTGAAGTCCTTGCCAAAGATTTAATTTCTCACTGATTTGTGAAAGTTATAATTGTAAGCTAATGGTTATTGAGTACATCTTCCTTCTCCTATTTGTCTTTTTTTTTTTTGCTGTTGAATTAAACATTTTTATTCTAATGACAAAGTCGTACCCTGGGACTGTGCAATGCTCTCAGACCAACAGGAAGTAAAAGGATGAAAATGAAGTTCAAATCAGACTGAATTCACAGCAAGTGAGAGACAGGACTTTTTATAACATGATCTTTTCAACACTAGGTTTGTAGTAGCTGGGACCTGAAAATAACAAGTATAATACATGCAATAATAACATCCATGGAGATCTGCAGAAATTTAGAGCTGTTGTAAAGCTGATAGAGGTTTACATACAAGGAATCATTTTA